TTTCTATTGTCCTCTATTAACTGCTACTTAGAACTGACAGGATTCCTCAGACTTCTAATCCAGATGGCCTATTATGATATATCTTAGTATCCTTTTTCTTTGATAATTTCAGTGGCCTGGTTGATCATAGACTCTTTTATACATTTTGATATCTGGTTTATCTATCTGTTCTTTTGAAGATGTTTCATAGGTTTTTATCTGTCTGATAGCATCATTGAAAGTTTTATACTATTTCCTTACTTAAGATATTCAAGTGGGTTTTTGACTCTTCAGTTTTTTTACTTTTTGCACCTAATAGTCTTATCATAGGTTTATACTAAAGTCTTATGCAAAACTAATTATTAATATTCCTTTATGTAGATGTAATATTACATATAGTATAGATGCTCTAAGCTTCTATTTGAGATAGTGCAACAAAGGTTACAGATATACTAATCCAACTAATTAACAGAGACATTTACTGTAATACAAACCTATTTTCCAAAAGTTGTTATTTATGAAATTTGAACTCTAGACCTGCCACTTGAAGGTTAACAATCTGATCACTTTACTAGATCACTACACCTTTAGCTTAGTAGAACTATAACTAGTTTGTATTTGAAAAATATATACAATGCTGTGATTCTATACTAAAGCCTATCTAATATCTATAGAATATTGAGATGTGCTAAGCTGTATTACTAAATTATTAATATAAAAATAAAGTTCAGATTAGTTATGATTAAAGTTAACAATTAGTTAAAAAATATTAATAATATTATTAGTTTTAAAAACATATAAAATAAGTATTATAAATATATAAACATTATTAGAATTAGAAGTTTAAATAGAATATTAAATATCAATAAAGTATAATAAGTTTAAATAGTTTGTATTAAAGTTTAATTGTTTGTTTTATATATTAAAATTTCTAAAAATTTAGTAAAATTAATAGAAATAAATATAATATATTTATAAATAATAAGATTAAAATTAAAGTTACAATTAGTGCATAATAAAAATTACAAATATTGAATATAGATAAGCAACATTTAGTTCAATATTATTATATCAATAAATAATAAATATTTGATCAAAAAAGATTAGTTGTCTTTGAGCTTTATCTATAATTATTTGATTATTAAATATAATAATAGACTAATAAACTATGACTTAGAGTGTTTTAAAAAATGTTCTATAATATAACTAAAAAAATTAATTTTTAAAAATTAAAAATAATGATAAAAAGTTTAGTAATAGAAATAACTTGTTGTAAGATTCTTAAGAGTTATAAACTATAATAGTTTTTACTTTTAAAAATTTAGTAAATTTTGAAAAAATGTTTTTAGTTAAAAAAACATAAATTATCATATATAATAAGTTGATCTAAAAAGAGTATATAATATTAATAAAGTTGTTTTTTGAAGCTAGACTATTTAAAATATAATAATAATATAGATTCTAAAGAAATAATATCTATAATAATTATATAAAAAATATTATATACAGAATTAAAGTTAATAAATAAGTTTAAATATATAAAAAGCTAAATAATTTTAAACCTAGTTGTATGTTTGTTTGAACTATTAATTAAAAGTTTGAATAACAAAATATATTTATAAAAAAACTAAAGATTGTTTTATAATTATTAAAAACAAATATAAAAACTAGTTTCAAGTAGCTTAGAATTGTTAAGTTATTTAATATAATTAGAGGTATAATATTATAATTAAATATCTTAAATATTGTAAATATTATATAGTCAAAAATAAAAGAGAGTGCTAGTAGAAATTGTGTAACTAAATTTTGCTTTTTGCTTAACAAAACTAATATAATAAATAAGAATCCTTTTACAAATAGCTTGACTAAGAATAATATAATAAAAATAGTATTTAATAATTAGTATAATAATTATATTACTAATATATTATAGTTATATATTAGTAATATATTTAAAGTTAGTAATTTTAATAAGTTATTAAGATTTATTTATAATGAGTTAGGTTTATTAAAAGTGTTTATTATTAAGTATAAACTAACAGTTAAGAAATTTAAAAAAAAATTTAAATAAATAACAAATATAATATAATTATTAAAGATAATAGAATTGTAATTAAATAATAAGTAGTTAATATTAAAAATAAATTTAGAAGAAATTTATCTGAATGTTAGTTATATTGTAAAATAACTTAATAGTTTATAAAATCTGTATTAATTTAGTTTGTAAAAATGAAATTCAAAAAGTGTTATTTATATATCTAAGAACTAAGTACTAAGTTATAAATTTATTGAAAATATTTTCTTTAAATTTAATAATCTAAAAAGTTTGTATAATGTAATCTGTATATTATAAATAAATAAGAATAATAAGAAAATTATAGTAAATTTTTTAAAGTAAAGATATAATAGTTTCATCTTAATCAATATTGTTAAAAATAGAATAAAATAAAATAAAACCAAGATTAATAATAAATTAATTATAACTATTTGTAAATATATTTATAATTGTATTTATAATTTGTAAAGATAAGAAAAAGTCTACAAATAATTGTTTAAGAAAAGTTAACAAAATCATAAACTTTACTTATATTTTAAAATAAAAGGCAAATTTTTTTATAGTTGCATAAGACATTCTTAATAAGATTATTAAGAATATAAACAGAAATAAACGTACTATTATCTAAAAAAACAAAATAATTAAATAGTAATAGAATAAAGTATTGTATAATTATAAAGTTATATCTTTTTGTAATAATTTTTATATAATTTTTTAAATATGTTTACTAAAACTTATAAGTTTTGTTAAGTTAGGCCATAAGCTTTGAAATTAGAAAGTTATATTATTGTATTAGTACTTTATTCGTTGTAATAGATTAAGTAAGTAAGTGGTATTATTCTAAGTTAATATGTAATTGTAATTAATAGTATTATTTTTAAAAATTTTAAAAAAAATCTTAACTAGTCTATGTACTGTTTAGTTTTCAAAATAGTTTTGGATATATTATTTAATAAAGTTTAGTTTAGTAATAAGTAAATTAAAAAGAACTTATTTTTTATTAAATTTCAAAAAATTACAAATCTTAATAAAAAAAATATTAATTTTATATTTTATACAGATGATTTAATAATTAATTTTATTACTAATAAATGCTTTATAAATATTAAATAAATACAAATTTACAATATAACAATACTCTAATTATATTTTATTTATGTTAAACTTTAAACATTATTTTATAAAATAAAACTTATAACAATACTATCTACTATTTGCATATGTTTATATAACTATAATATAAATATTTATACTAACGTTTAATTAATTATTACAAAATATAACACAATTACTAATAACTCAATTCTATTATATAAACAATACTCTTATACTAATCTATTTGATACTTATTATTCAAACTAATTTAATTCTACCAATATACAATTAATTTTCACAAAATAATTGCATATAACAATAATATAATAAAACTAACAAATTAGTAACGAACCACAACTTTACTATATATTTTAAACTAATATACAACAAACTTATACAATACTTCTAGTGTTAATCAAATTAATAATCAACTATAAATTTGTTGCTTATTAATAAAAAAATTTCTGATCAAACTGATCTAATCAAATTGACCAAATAATCTAACAATATAAATCAAATTAGCAAATTAAACCAATCAAACAAATTTGATTATAGTTAAATTAACCTAATTAGTCAATTTGTTCTTATATGTAACTAGACCACTTGACCAATATCAAGATGAACTGATCATTGGTCAAACTGATCTAGTTAAATGATCAGTCAACCAAACACTTAATACTTTATGCACTCTACAATATAACAAATACACAATTGAACAGCCTATTAAACAAGATATCAAAAATATTTGTAATGCTCATATAATTGCCATATGATCATTACATCATCGCATAAGTAACATTACCCTACTATCTTCACAAATTAGCTGAAACATAACTTGACTATATCTTAACGACAATACTAAAAAGACAAATAATTATACTAAGTAAATTAACATTAGTATAAATCAGTTGTAATGGTTTGAAACCTGAAATCCAAATATTTGTAATCAACACACCCGAATACCTTAGAGTCATTTGCAAATTGTATAATGTAATCTCGTTAAATGGGATCTTTGCTAGTAGAATGACACCAACATTTTCCGTTCGGGCTAGTTCGGACAAATTAAAACGAATATACTGGTTTTTTTTACATGTAAATCTTCTTTGACTCAATAGCTTATCTAATAAACTTTTGAATCAATAAAGGCAAAAAATGATTTACATGTAAGTACCGGTATGTTGATTTAGGTTTGTCCGAATTAGCCTGATCGGAAAATGTCAGTAATTTTCCTAGCAAAGATCTCAAATAATAAATTCAATATACATATAATACTCTTCAAAGGTACTCTCAAACTGAAGTTAGACAGTATGATAACTCATTATAAAATCAACGTAAATTGTCGAATTTGAAACCGAGCAGAGCTTTCAAAATGTACAGCCATCTAAATGAAGAATAATATTATATTTGCTCTTTAATTTTTAGATAATAAAACGTAAACTAAAAAATTTTAATAGCTAAAATTTTTAAATTAGTAATAAACATATTAAATGATATAGCTAATGTTCGATGAAATCTAATTCTGGCTTCTCTCTTAACTAGCTGTTTTAAAGAAGTTATAGAAATAAGTAATTTCCACACTTTACAACTGAAAAAAGTTTTCAAGAAAACTTATTGTAACTCACTAGGCTTTTAAAATTAAATGAAAGTCATTTCGAAAAAGTTCCATTTACTGGCCAACAAAATTAAACAACCAGAATCTGCATTTATTGTTGTGAAATTTATTCATACGATTGCATCAAAAGCAATATTAATTGTCAAAAAATTAAGAATAATGCCCTAATTAGTCAAGTCAGACATAGATTGCAATTACACCCTGGTAATTAAATATAAGTGCGAACAATTTTAAATAATGCATACTATCAATCCCATATTATTTAGGAATTTCCATCTCAAAAAAGATTTTTTTAGGCCGCCAAACTGAAAATCCAAAATGGAAGCTCAAAATTTGAACTAATTCTGCTAAGAATGAAAAAAAGAATTATTATATTACCTTGAACTAGACTTGGCTTGATTTTGGTATTATTATTAGAGGCGCTCAAGCTAGTGGATACAGATGCAATGGTATTACTGAATGCATCATCAGGATGCCATGCGATGTCAGCAACTCTAGTACTAAAAAAGTCGGAATAATTTTACCACCATATATAAAACATTCAAATAAATAAAATATGAGCTTTTTGAACACCTACCGGTGACCTATATGCTTGAAGAATGCGCCACCAAGTCGATTATCGGTCTTCTATATAGAAAATTTATGTGATTCATAGATAATGTAGTAAAACACGTATATTTTTATCAAGTTATACAACCTACTTTAGCATTCCAAAGGATAACTAAACTATCATCTGAGCAACTTGCAAATGTGTCAGAAGAATATGGAGACCACATTACTTTGTTCACGCGCTTGTCATGTTTTTTAAAAGTTTTTAATGATCTATCAACCTTTAAAGCGAAAGGGCAAGAAATAAAATGGTAACAGAATAGCGAAAATCATTTAATGCGTTAACCAAGATTTAAATACTGAATAACTTGCTTGTAATAATCCAATTAGACTACGCATTGATCTTGCATCCCAATATTTGATACTTCCAGTCTCATCAGCTGTTAAAAAGTAATGTTTATCATGAGGATTCCAGTGACAACTAGTTATAGCCACATTGTGAGCCTTTTGAACCTAGTTAAAAAACGAAAAATATAGATTTAATTAAAATGAACTATAAAAGTAATTAATAAAAAAAATTTGAGCACTTGCAGTTTGCGTGACATTATTATTACGATAATCCCAAATTTTGATATCACCTCCACTAGTAGTGCAGCAAATCTCATTGGTAATTGTACTGAAATCAACAGCAAGAATTTTGTCAGCAATGGGATCTTCAACGATCTTTGTGGAAAACTTTGGATAAAACGCTAAAAAAAGTAGATCGTTAATTACAATATCGTTGGTGCACAAAAATTAACATTTGATTACTAAAAACATGAACAATTATAATACCAGCTGAGCTGTGATAGGGTCCAAATCCATACGAATCCCAAACTACAAGGTGTCCGGTTAATGCTAACATTAAGAGGCATAAAGGTATTTTGAAATGAGGAACCAATTTAATGCTCAAAAATAAAAACAAAAAAAGAAATTTGCATAACTACCTCCGTTGACAATTAAACGTTGATTTTTATCAATTGACAAGCCTGGACCGATATTATCATTATCAGAATTGTCCACCACAAATGTTCGAGCAGAAATTTGTCTATCAAATATACAAATTAAATGAACTCTAATTTATAAACTCATAAAGGGCGAAAGCATAGCACTTTTGATCAAGTTTCTTTTTAAATGATAAAACTATAATATTACGTTTCTCCTGCTAACGTGTCATTTTTTGTTTTGACACTCCACTCATAAATCCGTTTATTTCCACTTGTGATAATAGTATCCAAGTTTAGGAGCCTTTAATAATACGATAAATAATATGAGTGATAACATTTAAGTGAAAATAAAAGAAACCATATTTTAAACCTCCGTATTAAAAGTTACACACCTTGCTTGTTGAATTGGTTCATTATCATGATGTGAAATACATTTAATAAAATGAACATTCTTTGTAAAAGATAGTAAATCATTAATAAAGTCATTTAAATGATTTGTTTATTTTCTCCCATTCAACTGGATAACTTACCCCACATTGTCTGTTTTTATTCCGTTTTGTGAATTTAAGTTTGTTCATCAATTGTAAATTATAATTTACTGTTTTTTCATCATCTTTTGTAAAGAGATCACAATCCATGATACCCAAACACATAGGATGACTTTGACTTATTGATTCGACAGCTGTACATATAAACAGTTAGTAAACAAGTTAAGCAATTAATTACATACACTAGTACGATGAGAAATTATGACAATACCACTATAGAGCATATACTTCTTGCTTATGTCAGATGAAGCGCCTACCCTTAATGATACATCTCCCCACTCGATTGTTGATAACGATACTATTTTCTTGTTAAACTCTGCATAGTGAGAATATACAACATCATACATTGAAGGTACAGTATGCTCAAATTCTCCAGCTTGAAAAATCCTGGTGTTGTTAGCATATTTAGCTAAGGTATTCTGAGTGTTATGAATAATTAAAAAATATCAAATAAAAATTATTGTTATTGATTATATAAGTTAAACTCAAACGTTACCTGGAACTGAGGATGGTTTAACTGTTTATTCCAAGATGATTCCTTATTGTTATGCTCTTTATTTTCGCTTTTTCCATCAGATATCGGTGTCACAACACCTTTCCCCTTAACATCTCTTTTTTTTGTTGGAGACCTTATAAAGAACTCGTCTGATGACATATCATTATCATTGCTTTGATTTGATATTTTAATAGGCTAGTTGTGAAAATTTTTGAGATCACATGATATAAGATTTACTGAATTAGGGAAAATGACATGCCACAACTTGGTCATGGGAAGACATTTATCTGATTGGCTGATGTAAATTAATTTATATATTTGACTCCTTGAGTCTTTTACCATTTTTTTGTTATTACGCGAATCGAGTTGGACTTTTCACATCTCTAATATCTAGATATCTGAGAATGTAACACTAATTAAAGATTTCAGAACGTTAACATTCACTGTGCAAAAGAATTAAAAACAGATCACTGACTAAACAACGTTATTCGTATTTATTAATATCCCAACATCCAGGGCGGCCCAAAAACTAGTACCCTAGCCATGGCGAAAACGAGGTGTCGCGTCATGTGACTTCCGAAGCATCCGGTCTGATATCTAAAAATCAAACAATCGAAGACAACATAAATAAAAGGAAAAAACCATATATTTAGAATTAGTGAATCGTATTGTATAGTAAAATTTTGCAAGAAAATTTTTTAATTAAGCAAAATTTTGATTTTTAAAAAACCCGGTTTTCGTAAAATTTCACGTTACACCATATCCTGTATTCTGATTGGTGGGTAATCATTCAGAGCGATCTTCCCCAGTATCGCCGTCAAAATTCTACCATCACGTGATGACGAAAAATTCTTTAAAGGTCATTTAGGTTAGGGTTAGCATTTCTAATAAGGCTGAGTACTAACGGGTTTATAGTAAAATTGCTCAAGGAATTTTTTTTGTTAGAGCACAAAAGGTATTTTCTTATTCAAATTTTTGAGAAATGTGCAATTTTTGACAAAATAACGATCTTTTAACGTTTGTTTTGAATTTTCCTGATCGTGCTACGTTACACCAAATCATGGCACATTATTGGTCAATTTGCCGTCTATAGTCACGTGATGGTAGAATTTTTATGGCGATACTGGGGTAGTTTTCAGAGCGTCGGAAATCACATGACCTGACACTTCGTATTCGCCATGGCTAGGATACTTCCCAAAAATGCACGATACATATATATTATAGAGATCGTGGCGCAGCCACGATATACAAAAAATTTCTAGTGCTTTTAAAAAGGCAAACTATAAATTGTTTTGATGCTTTTATCTTAAACAAATTTTTTTTTTGCTTTCACTAAGGTTGATGTTAACAGCAGCTATTATCTTTATTATGTTTTTAATAATGTTTTTAATTATGATTACATGTATAAGGTAAGTATGCAAATAGTTATATATATAGCTTTTAGTTATTTATTTAAGTTATCTGCTTGCAGGTTCTACATTAGTTATTATATTTGTAATTTGCTAGAAGATTACTTAAGTAAATACTTTGATTTTTATATTACATTTGACAAATAATGCATTAGTTTTTGTATATCTAAGTACTGTTTAATCTAATATTTTTTTTTTTTTTTGTATATTTATTAAGTTATTACATATTTTAGAGTGCATTATTTGATTGTAAAATTCAAAAATCTTTTTGTTAAATAATTTATTCATTTTTTATAGAACATTAATAAAACTTATTTTTACAAAATTTATATTAATCTTAATTTTTTTTTTTATCTTAAGTAGTCATAATATCAGTTAGAATTTTATTTATAAAAGCTTGATACAAATAATATACAAATATAACTTTATTCAATTTTTGTGCTATTATTATATAATTAGTTCAAGTAATACTTATAAGTAACCTGTTGTATTAGACCTATTAAAGTTAAATTTAGCTTATCTGTTTGTTACTCTATAATTAAATAATACCAGTTTGATATTATTTATTTATAAAAAAATAAAAAAATTCTTATTGAGAAGAAAAATATACTAAAAAATTGTATATAAAAGAAAATTGTAAAAAAAAAACAAATATCAAAAAATAAAAAAAAGAAAAGTGTTAATAAAAAGTTAAACAGATGATTATATAATTTAAAGATTATATTAGTCTATTAAAAATTATATGTTACTTAGATCATTAAAACAAACAAAATTAACAAAATTTTAAAAAACAATAGTATAAGTTTTTTTAATAATATAGTTTTCTTTAAAAATATTAAATTTAATATTCATTAGATTTAATATTACTAGAAATTCAAAAGTTACAAATAGCTAATTATAGTTTAATTATTAGCATAAAGTTGGCAACCCTAGTAAAGAGCAAACAAATTATTTGTTATTCTCAACTCATACAACTAATCAACAGATGTTTACCTCCAAGCATAATTGGCCTATTCTTCTAAAAATATCTAGAAAGTTATAGATTTTGTTTATTTGGTTTTTTTTTTTTATTTCAATATAAATTTTACTATTTTTGAAACTAAAAATTAATCAAAAAACTTTAATTTTGCTTAAAAAAATTTTTTTTAGACAAAAAGTAGAACATCATACTACTTTAAAAAATTTGTAAAGTATATGTAATTAATCAAAACAATAAACAACAAAACCAAACAAACAGTTATGTTTTAGTTACAAAAATTTGTAACAATTTGCAAAAAACAATAACAAATATCAAATTATATATAAATCTAAATTAAATAATAGATAATCAAACAATAAAAATACAGAAATAAATTAAGTGAATAAAGTAATCAAATAGAGATAATTAACAAACAAAGCCTAATTCAGCAGATGCAGAAAATAAATAACAAATTGTATAGATATTTAAACTGCAATAAATTAAATCATATTCTTAAAACATCTATAACTAAAAAATAAAGTAACTTGAAAACTATAACAAAAAACTTAGCTCTTGATGATTCTCAAAAAATTACAACTAAAGATCTTCTATTATATAGTCAAATACTTGAAACTCTAAGATATGCATTAGAAGAAGTTAAACAGTACTAAAGAAAACTATTAAGAATTAAGCCAATAAAATAAAGATAGCAAGTTAAAATTTAGACTTAGTTGATTATATATTAAGTTTAAACAAAAAGAAAATAAAAAGAAAAAAAAGCAAAATTGAGAGAATTAAAGAAAATAATAGAAAGAAAGAAAAATATCTTAGTGCAATATCTAAGAAAAGATAACAAACAGAAGATATAATAATGGCAGATACAAAAGTAAACAAAGGCTTAAAACAAATTGAAACACTAGATACAAAAAGGTGTCAAGTAATAATACAGCAAATAGAGCTAATAAATAAAGACAAAAAGCTATTAGTAATTGAAAATAACTGTATAAAAGTAACAAATAAAAAAAAAATACAAGAAAAATCAGAAAACTTTGCAAGAAGCATAATTCAAAATATCTAAGAAATAACTAAGCAAAAGGAGTTAAAAATCAAACCAGTAGCAACTTTGTTAAAGGACAGCCTCTGGTTACCTAAAAACAAAATATGTAATAAGAGGTTTTCTTTTAAAGCAAAAATCTCATTCTTTAAAGTTTTGAAAGAAACTAAAGAATACTGAATTAACAAGAATACTGAATTAACTATATAAAATGGGTTCTTAGAGGAAACAAATATATCAAGACAATTGAAAAAGAATTTTAAAATAACAATAATTAGATAGTAGTAGATTTCAACTATAAGTACAGTAGAAGGATATTAAATGAACTTATTAAGAAAAAAGAAGAAGACTGGTGTAATCTTATTCCAAAAAAGAGTAAAATACCAGAAGAAAAATCTAATTTATATTCTAAAAAAAATAAAGAAGCAACAAAACCAAAATACAAAAAAAGTTTTAAGTTCAAAAAAAAAAGAATTTAATCTATACCTTAAAAAAAAAGCAGAAACATTTAGTTTTAACAAAAAGAAAAAAATGATAATAAAAATTACAAGATATATAACAATTTGAAATTTGCTAATAAATGTTAAGTATGAAGAAATAAAGTATATATGCAGAAGTCTTGGCAACATACATATAGTAAAAGTTAAAAGAATATAATTTAAGACACTTGTGGTAATTGAAATTACAAGCAATAACTATAATTACACCCTATGGTTATTATTACTAAATAATAACAATTTAGTTTGAGTAACTTAATAAGAAGAAAATTATGAATAAAGAAATAGACAAAGCCTCTACATAGTAAAACTACTAGAGATTTCTAAAGAAGCCTCAAAGGTATTGCTTTGCATAGTTTAAAAAATAAAAATACAAAATCTGTATATATTCTAGCAAATAGAAATAGTAGCTTTAAAAGATTTGTAATAATTACATTTGCAAGTTAGAAAGAATTAGAAGCAGCACAGTCCAAACCAATAAAGTATAACAACTATACAGTTTTTTGGGAAGACTATAAGGTGAAAAAAAAACAAAAAAGAAAACAAAAATAATTAACAAAGATTTTGATAATGATAAAAGAAGAAATAACACTTAGAAAAGAGAATACAAATATAAAGAAAAAAGAAAAGAAATAAGAAAACAAAAAGAAAAAAACAAAAGAGTAGAAAAAAGCAACAAAAAAACATTTACAGAAAGTTTGTTATTCAGAATACTTAGCAGACTTGACAAATTAGAAGTACAGAAAGAAGATAATGACATAGTAATAAGATGGAAACTGGCAAATTGCTCCTAATAGTTGCTAATGTTAATCCAAAGTTAACAGATATAAAAATAAGCCTCTCTTCACAAGATTAAGTAATCAGAACAGAAATATTACAAAAAAACACTCTATATCTAAGAAAAAACTCTAGAAAATATGAAATAAAGCTACTGAATATAAATAACAGTAAAGGAAAAGAAAAACAAATAGATAAAGATAAATTTTAGCAAGAAACTAAGAATACACAATGTAGGATACATATAAAAAGAATGAAAAAATTGAGCTTAAACTAGTAATACACAACATTAATAGCCTCAAAGCAAATAACCAGAAAATAGAAACATTGTATTAATAGATGATAAATAATGAACTTGATATTCATCAACAGAATAAATATATGAAATATTGCAAAAGATTTTGCATACTAAAAATCTTTTAAAATAACTATAATTAATACAAATTATTTTGAAATAATATAAT